GTCCAATAGCCTTACTGAGTAGTCTTGGAAAAGTCCTGGACAAAGTAATCCTAAAAAGGCTTAATAAAGAAATTAACAACAGAAACGTTATCATAGACGAACAATTTGGCTTCACCACGGGTAAGAGCACAGAACTCCAGTTAGGACGAATAGTTGACAAAATAATGCTCAACAATAATATTAACGTAGTAACATCAATGACGACAATAGACTTGGAAAAAGCGTACGACACGGTATGGAGGGAAGCGCTAACATTAAAACTGAGCACTGAAAAAACAAATCTGTTTTATCAACCAATAAATTTTTTGTTGCAATTGTTTTTGTTGGTCCTAATAAAAAATGTGTTAACCCAAGTAAAGTGTTTAATACATTAGTATTTGCAACAAAAATGAATTTGTTGGAAAGAATTAGTTTACCCTACTGACAATATGCGTCGCCGCTAATAGGTATCCTTAAGTAAACATAACAAATATGTTTTTGTTGTCAATTTTCGACTTGGTGCCATGGTTAAAGTTAAGTCTTGGTGTCATAGTGATTGAATAATAAAAAAATAATTTGTCACTGTCAAAAAATTTTTGTGCAAATGCTAGAGGAAGCAGGTTCGCGTTAATTAATTTTTGTGCATTGGGCGTTATGGATGAAGGAGTAAACCAAATATTAACCGAGTGGGGATTTTCTTCATTAGAAAATACTTTTAAAGGTACCAAAATATTTTTTGTTAAAAAAATCAAACAATATTAACCTATACCTACACAATATTGTTAATGCAACTCTTTTTACATACTGAAAGAGGTGCTTTAACAATATTGTGTAGGCATAGGTTAATATTGTTTAAGTTCTTTTAACAAAAATTATTTTTTGGTGATTAAAAGAACTACCAAATGTTATAACAACAAAGCAACAATGTTGTAGTTACTCATTACCATAGCTTTTCCAACAAATAGATTTATAATGAAAACAAATGCAAAAAGTTATAGAAACAAATAAATTATTACCTAAAACAAATGTAAACTGTTTTAACAACAAAATATTATTGTATGAGATATCAATAATATTAGTTACTTTAAACAAGACACCATAGTTTTGTCAACAAAAAATATTAGTTACAGTAACATATTATGTCTCAACAAAAAAAAAATTGTTGTTGTAACAAAGATTTTAGTTGAGGCTATAGCTACAAATAAAATTTGTTGGCGCAACTTTTTTTTAGTTGCTTAAACAAATTATTTTTTTCAGTGAGCGACATAGACATTCCAGAATACCTAACAAAACTCACGTGGAACTACCTAAAAGATAGAACACTGCAAGTATGCATAAAAGACGAATATTCGGATAGACAAGGCGTAACACTAGGACTACCCCAGGGAAGCTCCCTAAGCCCAACCCTTTTCAACATTTATATAAACGACATACCAAAGCCAAATAACAATAAAGTACAATTAGCCCTTTTCGCGGACGATGTGGCAATAGTAAGCGAATCAACAAAACACAGGACAGCACAAACATACACACAAAGATACATTGACACACTAATCCCATATTTCAAGAAATGGGGCCTCAAAATCAATCCCGCCAAAACAGAAAATACTCTATTTACGAAAAAAGTAAAAATAACAAACCCACTAAATATCAACATCGAAGGCACGGCTGTCCCTATCACCCGACAAATAAAATACCTAGGGGTTATTCTAGACAAAACAGTCACGTTTAAAAACCACATATCTAACATAAAATGCAAAGGGTACGCAGCCTTCAAACACATAAAACCATACATACAACTCTCAACACCGATGAGCGAGAAAACAAAAATTATGATTTACAAAGCGTACATTAGATCAATACTTCTGTACGCCGCACCCATATGGAGTAGCGCAGCAACAAGAAATAAACGCCATCTGTACACCCTAGAAAACCGGGCACTAAGATTAATAAAGGGCCTTAAAACAACGGACATCACCCTAAACGATCTTTATAGATCACTGGGAATAGTACCCCTTAAAGACATGATCGAATACAAGGCAGACAAATTCTTCAACATTACAATAAACAATAGCCATATCACTGAAAATATCGGCAGATACAATAAAAATAACGCACCATTCAGGGCCAAGCACAAGCTCATAAACGACATTTTATACAATCAGGGGCCTTAGGCCAAGTAAAACACACAAACAACAACAAATAACGACAGACGCCTTTAGCCGAACCATAGGCAGCTAAGAAAAATATGACATAAAGAAAATAAGGACATACCTAAAAATTAATAAAGTGTGGAGCATAAAAATGGGGCCACAAATGAAACAATTCTTGAATGTTTTTGTATCGGTACATACCAAAACAAAATTAAAAAAGTCGAAAAGGCAATAACAATAATAATAATAATAATAATAATAATAATAATAATAATAATAATAATAATAATAATAATAATAATAATAATAATAGGCAAACAGTATAAAACCTCTGGCACTTACAAACTGCCGCTATGAGACAACTTGCTTCATTGGGATTTGACAACGCAGATATTAAATAAATTTATTGAATTTAAAACCTACTAAAAGCTGGGAGCAATTGTTAAATAAAAAAAACTTTGAAACGCTAAAAATATTGGACGCGATCCGAAAAAGCCACCTAGCGTCAAAAAAATGATTTTTCAGAATATTATTTTTTTTAAGTAGAGGGTAGAGGGAAATTGACATGCCCATTTGATTTTTGGATACTAGCCTAGCATTACTAAGTCTCTTTTCTCGGATCGCGTCACATATGCAAAAAATGCGTTGGTACATATCGACCGATGCAACGAAGACTATAGTAACTCAACAACGTGGATTTTGACTTACTATATGGCATCAACAGATTTTTTCAAGCTCTATTTGGTGGAAGATTACAGTAACTCAGACATAAAACGATAGGCAACCAGTGAACAACTTCCCTGTATAGTAAGTGTAATAATCCACATTCCTACAGGCGAAAACTTTATTAAGTTAAGTTACTCTAGTCTACAATCAAAACTGAGTTACAATAGTCTTCGTTGCATGGGTCGATATGTCGTCTAACTAATTCATATCTTGACAACGTGTTTAGAGTAGCATGTAGCCGGATTGAATTCAAATTGTCAAAAGTTTCCCACAATTTCTATAGTCAGAATGTAATTTATGTTGAAATAAATGATAACGTTTAAATGTTGAGTTTTATTGTAATATAGGTCGTTGCGCCCCGCCTGATGTAGCAGTCATACGTATTTGGCCCAAGGAAAAAATAGTTTAAGTAAGGCTGTTATAGATGTATAAACTTTCATAACTATCTAGCAGACTTGGTTCCCTAACTTCCTCAATAAGTTTAAGGTTGTCAAATCCTATTCTATGACCATCATTAAGTATATGTTGTCCTACCCTATTTTAGGTTTACATGGGTTTACATGTAACGTAACGATGAGATGTGTTTATAATGAATTTATAGTAAGGCGCGCATGTCCAAGTTCACGAAAATGGCAGCATTGACAGATTTCGTCTAATTATTATGTCTTAAAACTATCAGTGTTATCATAACCTTAGTGTAATGAGCGATATATACGTAGAATTACTTCTCCTTTTGTTGGCAAAGAAAAGAAGTTTGCCCACAACCGAAAAGAAGCAACCTAAACCTCGTCGGTGGAGTGTAAGACCAGTGAATAGGGACAGAAAAAAAGGGCGAATTTCGTCTAATAATACTCGAACTAAAACTTTACGATGAGGAATGGTTCTTTAGATACACCGTTTATTTCTGGATACCCCAGAATACACTTGAAAAACATCTATCATCTGTTTGCATTTGCATGGCTACCACCAAAGATAATATGTATTATCTTTGGCTACCACCCTGATTGCTACCAACAATGTTTTAGTGAAATCATAAAAATAACTAAAATTCACACATAATAAACCCGTAAAGTTGAGTTCATTTCAACTTTACGTATTTTTTAACGGTCACCCATAAGATCTTATGTTCGAACGTAAAACGTAAAAATTTTGACTTTACGTTTTGCGTATTTCTTACGGACATCTTACGGTTACGTCCATTATGAATGAACACTAAGTGCTTTATTAAATTATGTCATTAGAAGTATATTTCTTTTTAAAAAATAATTTAATTATGTTTTTTGTTATCTTGTACGAATATTTAACAGAGATATGTATTAAAAATTATAATAATAAACTGGTTTTGTAAGGGATAGCTGAAAACAATTTTTTATTATGTAAATCCAACAAGTTTCTTAACTAACATCCTAATAAAAACTACCATGTCATGAAAACAATATTAATATTCCTAATCAACAAATTAATGCATAATGAATAAACAAACATTGACATATATGTATACATACACGTGAATAACAAATAAATTTAAATACTTTAACAAAATCAAAGGGGTATTTTGTGAACCTTGGGTTTACAAAATTGGATAAAAAAAAAATTTAACTGGCGAAATGTCGGAAATTTAGGACTAAAAATATGAACGTTTTTTTGTGCTGTTTCAAGAATTTTGCCTGTGTGGTAAAAATTATTAAACACTTAGTTTAAAATCCTAGTATTAATTTAAAATATATTTATAATAATAATAATTGCATATGAAATATTTGTAAGGTTTGCAGTGGGCTGCCAGAAATAACCAACAAGTATATTTAGCATGTTTCTTGCAATGATTTTATTTTTTATAAAGAAAAATTAATGTCCTAAAAGTAATAGTTATCCGATGCATTACAATGCGAGATTCGTAATAACCTTTTTGATTTTACGATAACTTTAAAAATTCTGTTATGAAAAATAAAATTATACTTAATAAGAAAATACTAAATATATATAAAATTAATAAAATTAGGATACCTACTTGTTTAAATAGAACAAATTTTCTAAAATTACTTTTATAAAAATAATTGCCATTCTAAAATACGTTTTTAAATTATAAATCTTGTTTTATATATTCCTAAATTATGTCTTAATTAATATGCATATTACCGATGGCGATGATAACTAGCACTCGGTAAACAAGTTCTTTAAAGCAACAAGTTTTCATTTTCGAATCAGTTTCTTTACGACTTTGCTTTGAATTATTGTGAATATATTTTAATGTTATGCCAAAATGATGTCTCAGGCGACAATCATATCAAAGAATCAAAGTTCTGCTAATTTGGTAAGTAATATTAAAAAAATTTTGCTAAAAACGGGGGGAATAATTAAATAAATTTAACATTTTTAGAAAGTATTAACGACTTGTATAGTTTTCTCAATAAGTGGAATACAAAAATATTCTTTATTTTTAATGTTTGTTAAAACTCATAAATTATTTATGGAATGTCAGCAATATCCCAGAAACAGTATTTTAATTGTATTTTCCATTATTTTGAAACCGTTCTGGGGGAATTTTTGTAATGACTATGGGTATTTTATTAGATTTTTTATTGCATACAATACTTGGTTTAGAAAACTATTTTTTTCTATTGCAAAAATTTATGTTTTTAATCATAATAACGAATATGTACATTTCCTATACGTTTTCAATTGAGAAAGTGGCGTAGTCTTAAACTGTGGAGAAAATTGATCTCTTTCTCCACTGCGGTTACTGTCCAATGAGACGACGAGAATTTAATTTTCTCCACGGTGGTATTTATCATTACCATGACGATTATACAATGTCTCATTATTTTCTTAAAAATTGATTTACCCTGACAGTTGTCATCGAATCTGTGGTTATGCTAGGTAATTCAATTTTACTAAACTTTTTAGTGTTCAACTCTTGAAAAATAGCCATTTCCATTTGTATGAATTACTTCCCTCGCCTTCGGCTCGTATCGCAATATTTTATCCTCATGAAAAAGGCCAAGTTTCTCAATCGTTAAACACTATATATTATATAGGGTGGGTCGTTTTTTAGTATTTTTTATAAAATTAGAACGACTGGTTGGAAAAGTTGTAGGTTGGGCTTTTATTTTGAAAAATATATTTTTTTCAATTTACAAAATTAATTTAGACCCCCCGCCGGGCCCCCAAAAATAAAAAGATATAAATATTAAAAAAATTATAGGCCTGCATTGGGGAATGTTTTATTTGGTTTTGAGTCCTCAATTTTTTTTTCAAATTTAAAGTACATTTAGGCCCCCCGCCACACATCCAAAAATGTAAATAATTTGTTTAAAATTAACAAAATTGTTACAAGGCAGCTCTTCGCTTATTTTGAGCAATACTTACACTCCCAGAACTCACCACGGGGAGGTGGCTGCCATCGAGTTCCACCCCTGCCCGCCCAACCACCCTTCCATGTGGGCATTTTAGATTATTCTGTGCTCACCACATATTCTGACTTTGTAATAAATTTGGGCATTTTCTTTCTGGACTCTATTGTTGTACGTATCCAACCATCCCTATTTTTCTCATCACAGACAGCCAGAGACGCTTCTGTTACTAACTTAACCCCTCTCTCAACCGCCTGTGTGTGGCAGGGTAGTTTCCACAGATCTTCTTTAGGAAAATTGCCGGTCTTAATGAAATCCTCAATAGTTTGATCAGATAGGTATTTGGTAAGTGGAGGCTCTGTAATAGTGCACTCTTGCCAGTTTATTAAACCAATATAACACTCAGAATCAAAGTTAAATGAAGGAATTTGAAATTTTTTAACTGTATCGTTTGACTTTTATTGTTGTTAGCCGTTAATCTTAATTTCATAATTTTCCTAAATCCCAGTTCTCTTATATGTCGGCGTGGGTCAAATATCATGGAAATTAAAATATTTTCTGGATGCCCATAAAGCCGTTCCTTTGAATCAATGGATCAATTACAGATTTTAACTCGTCGCTTAAATATCTTGAGAACTGATACAGCTTCCACAAGTGCTGAGCCCCATTTGTGCATAAAGGTGAATATTTTACTAAAAACCAAACCTTTGCATACACTTTCAAAATATACTCTGTTAGAATATTAAGATTGGAGGGTGGAGTCTCCGTTCCAATATAAGCCCGTAAAATCCGATTAGCAGTAGTGAGCCATCTCGCATGAGACATTTTACCCGGTGCTTTATTTGCTAAACTAATTGGACAGTTTCCTGTAGATATAGCTGACATATTAGGTATAAATATTTTTGCTCAGTGCTGAGTTCTGCTTACATTAGGTAATTCTGTCCCGATTTTTTTGTAATGAACGACCGGTAACTTCTCACATGATTCAAGGAGTTTTCCAATGGGGCCTGAAAATGAAGCAGGACCTTTAGTATCGCCATCTAGATGTCGAAGCAAATGACGGAGTGGCAGCTCATTTGCGTGCAGTTGGCATATCAGCCACTGCACAGGTCGTTTGAGATGTGATTCCAATAAATGAATAACCCCACCGTGGGGTCCAGTATTCACTACTGTCCCATCACAGCCAATAGCAACAAGCTCTGATGTAGAGATACTAGCTTTGTTAATATAACTAAGAATACTTGATGCAAGTTTTTTAGCCGTCCCGTTTTCAGGTGTCACATGTCCCAAATAATTGCTACCAGGCTCCTGGATTAAAACTACATGCTCTTCAACAACAGTTTTTCTAGATGATGTGCTTTCTTGCTTTTTTATGTGGAAGGTGCGGTCTTTGCGTCCATCAAAATAAAGGGCTTGTAAAATTTTGCCGTCCTCTGCACTTTTTTTTTTGTAAGTCGAGCCAAGCTCTTTTTTTTTTGGCGATCCAATTTACACTTATCGATTATGTAAGATGTGTCACTTTTTGTGATTAAACCAACATCCTCAAGGACTGCACTGGCTATCATTGCACCTTTGCGACTCGATAATCCTGCTCGATCTATTGCTTTTGCAAGTGACGGTAGGGCAAGTGATATGTCTTTTGCGCTGGTAGAGGATGTTGGATTAAATTCTTCATCGGAATCGGTATCCTGCTGCGATGATGAATCTGAAAAAACTTCGTTAGGTTGAGTTTTTGCCTCGGACTTCAAACCACTGCAGCTAGCTGTTTCTCCTTTTCTTTCTAGCCTTTGCTTTAAAACTCTAGTGCTTTTGGCATCCACTTTTCCCATAAACATTATTCTTGTGGTTCTCTGATCTTTTAAAAATTCATGTTCTAATTTAGGGACCTTCTTTAACTTGACACAAGCACACGATGAAAGTTCTTTGCACTTGCATGTCGAAATATCGAAAAGCTTTTTATTCGATTCATTTTGGAAACATTGTAATTTATTTCGGGCATAACTACTTGTTTTCTTTAGAGATTTTTTAAGATCCATGAATTGTTTGTGATATTTTTTAAGTAGTGCAACACATTGCTGGTTTGATATAGTAGGCAAACTGGCTTTCCACCAAATTATTTGTACCTTGTCAACTACCAGTTTGGAAATCTCAGCAACAGTTTTATTTTTAGTGGTGTGTTCACTTAAATTGTTTTGTACAAATAGAAAATACCGCATTACATGTTCATAACACGGCAGTACCGTTTTACTTAAGTCACGAGGTTCACCAAATACGGCATCGCGAAACGACTGCCGAGTAGAAACCTTACGCTTTACGCCCGCCTCCATATTTATAATTGAAAATAAAAATATATTATATTTTATAATATTAAATATTTAATTTATACAAAAAGGTGATTAAAATACAATAATAGTAAAACTATAATAAAAAATACATACGTCTAAATATTATAAATAAATCGGCCGGGGGCTGTTAATGCATTCCAATTATAAAAATATATTATTTTGCGTTTATAAACAACAATTACAAAAACATTTTTAGTACAGGCAAATTTGATTTTGAATTTTTTTATTTTATTTTTGAAGGGCCAGCGGGGGGCTTAAATTTTAAACTAAAAATAAATAAAAATACCTACATTTTTTTAGTCCCATACACAACTTTTTCTGACACAGGCGTTTTAAAATTCAAAAATCGACCCACCCTACTATATAATATATAGTGTTTAACGATTGAGAAACTTGGCCTTTTTCATGAGGATAAAATATTACATATTATGTATGTATTAGGGTGGTTCTTATTTGACCGATGCATCGCACAGTGTGTTAAATTAATTATCTAGCTAGACAAAACCTAATTTTAAAACAACCTGAAATTAAGACAAATTTAATTAAATAAGCTTCTTCAGTTCTCCCTGTTATGATTTCCATTAATTAGAACGTACTGCAACAGTGTATTCAGCACTATGCAGGCGTCAGTTCCGGGCGTATCATTTTTTATAAATATACTTAGCCGTGTATGTGTTGCAGAAAGGTGGAGTGATTTTGACATTGTTTCAAGTTAAATCAAATTTTGAACTTTGCCGCTATGAATCTAGGTATATATTACTAATTTTTTATAATTAGGGATTTATAATATCAGTAATCAGCAACAGGCTATATATATAGAAATTCACTTGATGTTGTTAAATATGGACAATATTTATTAAGCAAGAAGTATTGTAATCGAGCAATATCGGGTGCACTATCAATATTTGTTTTGTTTTATAACGTCTAAAGATTACTTATGTGCCTTTATTTCTTGCCCCAATTTGCCTCTTCTACAGGGTGAAACCAAAAACCGGCTCACTCCTTTTTTACTATTAAATTTTAAAATAGAGTTGAAATTTGGGAGCAATAAAAGAGTTAATTTATAATTATTTCAACCTTCAATGGATACCACAAAACTTCCGGTTTCCCCGGAAATAATGCCAACTTTTGTTTTTTCAATGAAACCCTATGCATATCTTTGCATATTTCAAATCAGGAGAAAATTTTGAATTCGATACTTACACTTTCAGGGGAATTTTATAATGATCTTTTTGTAATTTAAGTTTTCCATAAGTGTAATTTTCGTGGAAAACACTAACCGAATTTTTATGACATTGGTTGGTTTTGATTGGGGAAAACATATGTATTTAAAAAAACATTAGCAGCCACTCTGATGGTATTTAAAAAGTTGAGTTAATTAAAAAAACAATTTATCAGCAACATTTACTATTTATGCATTTTACTGCAAATTTGGATGGTAAAACTAATTGATTCTCCAAATTGCAGCTTTCTGGATTGAAAACTAAAACTGGACAAAAATTCAAGGTCAATTGCAAAATGGTAGCGAATGTGCATTTATCGGATTCAAAATTTTCTCCAGATTTCAAATATACAAAAATATACAGGGCGTTTCTTTGGAAAAACGAAAGTTGACC